CGCCCACTGTCCCTCCGCCCGCCGTCTTGATTACATTCCTATCTTTCCCTCCACTCCCTCCCTCAACTCACTGCTTTCCTCTTCCCGACTTCTCCCTCCTTAATATAAATTATATTAATACTCTGATTTGCTCCCCTACCCATTTCCTTCTTTCCATGCTATCATCTCCCAGCGGGCCGGCACTCGGGTTCTAGTCCCGGTCGGGGCGCCGGATTCTGACCCGGTTGCCCCTCTTCCAGGCCAGCTCTCTGCTGTGGCCCGGGAGGGTAGTGGAGGATGGCCCAGGTCCTTGGGCCCTGCACCCGCATGGGAGACCAGGAGAAGCACCTGGTTCCTGGCTTCGGATCAGCGTGGTGCGCCAGCCGTGGCGGCCATCGGAGGGTGAACCAACGGCAAAGGAAGACCTTCCTCTCTGTCTCTCTCACTATCCACTCTGCCTGTCAAAAAAAGAAAAACAGAGATAGTCTTATTTTAATTTAATGTTTATTTTTCATGTACTTGAAAAGAGGAGTGACAAGGAGAGCTCTTGCATCCACTGGTTCATTCCCCACGTGCCCACAATAGCCAGGGCTGGGCCAGGCCGAAGCCAGGAGGCAGGAGCTGCATCCGGGTCTCATGTGGGTGACAGAGACGCAAGTACGTGAGCCGTTGCCTGCTGTCTCCCCGGGTGCACGAGCAGGAGCTAACCTGGAAGCGGAGGAGCCGGTGGGGGCTTGACTGCTGGCATCCTAAGCAAAGCTTAAGCTGCTGCCCCGTGACACCTGCCCCCGTGGGATTTTGCCTTTTATTTCATTTGCTTGCTTGAAATGTGTTTTCTTCCCATGACCCCTACCTTCCTCCACCCAAGTTCTGAGGCCCTTGAGGTCTTAGAGGGTGCCGGACACCTTTTCAGGCTGGGGGCCTGACAGACAAGGTCCCTGTGCAGGGCGGGGTGGGGGGTGAGGTGGTGCAGGGGAGACTGGGGAGCCAGTGCAGCCAGTCCCGTGGCGGAGGGCACAGAGCGCCGTGGAAAATGATCGCAGGGTGGCGGGGTGGGCGGGAAGAGGCTCGCGCTTCACCACAGGGAGAACCCGACTGTAGAGCGGGTGCCATGGCTGCTGCTTTGGGTCAGCTTCCTGCGGAGAGAAACAACGTTTGCCTGGCAGCAGGCAGGACTGACAATGGTTTTGGGGGTTTGGGGTGGACGGTGGGGAGCTTTCTTCCCAGGGGCCGCACACCTGCTGGTTACTGCGCCTTCCTGCTGGGCCCTTCCCCACCCCCAGCCCCAGGAAAAGGAGAGGCCAGGTCCTGGAGTCAGGTGGGCCTGGGTTCACAGCCAGACCTGAGAAGCGGGGTTGCATCCCAGTCACTCGTCCGTTTAGCCAAATGGGGGATGGAGGAGAATTAGAGCTGAGTTGCTCTAAAGCGGAGGTGACACCAGCACCCAAGGAGTACCGAGCGAAGCACCTGCCATGCTAGGTTGGAGCTGGGCTGTGTCAGGGACTCAGCAAGGGGCGTGGTTTGCAGGAGCAACACAGGCCCAGAGCCCCCAGTCCCGAGTGCACCCTCTTCCATCCCGGGGCCACACAGACCTCCTGGCCCCCAGGGAGCGCGTGCGAGGGGTGCAGGCCCGGCCTGAGCGAAGGCCCCGTGGTGGGACCGGAGCAGGGCCTGGCAGCCTCCCGGCTGGGGGCTGGCCAGAGGGCCCCGTCTGGTTTGAGTTCTCGGCGCCTCTTGCTCCCTGCATCAACCCACAGCCTGGCCCCGAGCTGCCAGGCCCGTGCCTTATTTGGGTCCTGTCTCCCCCCTCCTAAAGAAGACACTTCATGGCCTTAAAAGGCAGGCCCGGGGGGCCAAGGGGGGCAGGAGCCCCTCCAGCTGTGTGGAAAACCAGGCCCCCAAAGCTGGAGCAGCCCAGGCTTGTGCGGGGGCGGGGGCTCCTGGAAGCAGCAGCCGGCTTCCCTCTGGTCTTCATTTAAAACCAGAACTGGAGCCACTTGGCTCTCTTCTTACCAAGTAGGGCAGGGACGGCGATGGCCAGGGCCGCCATTTATTAAGTACCTACTGTTTACCCAGCCCTTTGCACACGTCACCATCATCTGGCCCCGCACAAGCCTGGGAAACGTGGGGGCTTTAGAATCCCCTTGTAGAGATTGAGAGAAAAGGCAGGGCAGGACGTGGAGGTGCTTTCAGGTCTAGGCTCCCCCCTCCCCGACCCCAGCCTCATCCACAGCCCCCTTCCCACTGCCCTGTGCTCTCACCAACCCCATCAGGCGGTCAGCTTGTTCCAGTTCAGCCCCCTTCATGCTGTGTGACCCAGGTAAATTGCCGCACCTCTCTGGGGCTTGGTCTCCCTCCGATCAGAGGGGAGGAGGAATCCCCCTTGGGGCTCTGGAGAGGCAGGGAGGGCTCAGGGCTGCCAGGCTCTCACCCCGGCGTCCTCAGTTGCAGGCTCCTCTGGCGTCGTGGAGCCTGGGTGGGCAGGCAACACCATGCGACGGATGGCGCTCCGGCCCTCGGCCTTCGCAGGTGGGTCCTGGGGGCCCGCAGGGCAGCGTGGGAACTGTCCCAGCAATGGAGGGCCAAGGACAGCACCCCAGCCAAGCTCGCTCCGCCCCTCCAAGGGGAGTCGGATCTGGGCCAGGCCCCCGCTAAGACTGATGACCCCTAGGTCCACGCTCCCCACGCCCACCGCTCCTTCTATTTGAGCCTCGTGTCTCTGGACGTCTGCAGTGGGTGAGGCTTGGTGCCAGGTGCTTCTCATCACAGCCCCTTCAAACCTTTCAGCTGCCCGTGTCCCATGGGGCCTGACCGTCTGCCCCTCCCCACCCCCATCTTAAAGAGGTGGAAACCAGGGTCATAGTGGAGGGGGCAGCACCTGGCGCTTGTTAGGCACCCCCCCACCCCACCCCACCCCCGCTTGCTGTGAGCTCAGGAGCCAGCCAGGGTGAGGCTCTCCCGGGTTCTGACAGCCGCAGCTGCTGTAGGCGTCACTCAGGTATCTCGCCCACTCCAGGCTCCCTCCTGGCTTGGAGACCTCAGATGTCTGTCCCCTCCATCCCTCTCCCCCAGGGGCGGAAGGGCACTGAGGGGGAACCCGGGACCCCTGAAGCCAGCCCCAGTCTCCCGACTCCCTCCAGGTTGTCTCAACTGCAGCCAAGTGTCGGAGTTGACGGAGCGGCTGAAGTTGCTAGAAGCCAAGGTGAGTGACAGAGCCCCACCCCCACCCCGTCTCCCCTGCCCTCAGCCCTGGGCCCTTCCCTGCACCCCGACGCCCGCCCCGTCAGCCATCCCACCACGCAGCAGTGAGCTACTACCGTTACTGTCCTCGCGACTGCAGCTGGCTCCCCTCCCGTGTCCCCACCGCCAGCACCCGGGACCCTGCTCCCAGCCAAACAGCCGGGCCTGCCCTGTCTCCTGGAAGCCCAGGAAGCTGCCTCCCATCTGCCCCTGACCCGACCCCTTCTCAGCCAGATAAGCAGAGCCACCCCCAGGGCTCAGGGCTGGGTTCCCCCGCTTGCCTGTCACCTTCTTCCTTTATCTGCCCCCCACCCCCCATAATCCTGGCTTCCCAAGTTCACAGCAAAATTCCCATGGCACAGTGCCGATGTCAAGGGCACTTCAAACAGTTAGTGGCAAATGAAATCAGGAGACGTTTATTTGGGTACAAGAAACTTCTAAAAGCCATGTATGGTATTTTTCATGACTGTGTAGACTCCTCATGTGCATAGATTTCAGAAATTCTTGGCACCACGAGAAACATGTGTAATTCCATTTTCAATGATAACTTTTTGAAGTGCCCCCTTGTATTGCAAAATAAAGTTTTCAGAAATGAGGGGCAGGCACTATGGCACCCTGGGTCGAGCTGCCACGTGGGATGTCCGCATGGATTCAGTTGCCGGCTACTCTGCTTCCGTTCCAGCTCCCCGGGCAGGCAGCAGAGGACGGCCCAGGTGCCTGGGCCACTGCCACCTATGTGGGAGACCCGGCGTGGAGTTCCCGACTCCTGGCTTCAGCCTGGCCCGGCTCTGGATTTGGGGAGTGAATCAACAGATGAAAGATTCTCATTCTCTCTCTCTCTCTCTCTCTCTCTCTCTCTCTCTCTCTCTGTCACTCTGCCTTTCAACTGAAGAAGTAGATAATAAATAACCTTTTTTTTTTAAATAAAAGGTTTCAAAAATTAACAAGTAAAGCATTAAAGAAGGATCGTAAATGTAGAAATACGGAAAACCCTTTGTTTTCTGATTTGCAGAAATCACTCATGCCCCCTAGAGAGTTTATTCCTTTTTTCCCAGATTTTAATTTTTTTAATACTTATTTTTATGCATCTGAAAGGCAGAGAGAGAGAGAAAGAGAAACGCGAGAACTCCCATCTGCTGGTCCACTCCCCAGATACCCACACATGTCAGCGCTGGGCCAGGCTGAAGCCAGGAGCCAGAACTCCATCTGGGCCTCCCATGTGGGCGGCAGGGACCCAAGGCCTTGAGCCATCACCTGTGGTCTCCCAGGCGCGTTAGCAGGAAGCTGGACAGGGAAGTGGAGCAGGGCGGACATGGAGCTCGGGCGCCCTGAGCGCTGCGCCCGGTGCCTGCCCTGATTCTCTAAGCCTGCAGGGACGACATGCCCTGGCCTGCAGATCCTCCGCCCCGCTGCCCCTCCGCTGGGATCGCATCGTCAGGAGATTAGCAGGTGCACAGGTGCTAACTGTTAGCAGGGAAACTGGCAAAGCAGACAGCAGAGGGCTGTGCTCTGGGGGAGGCCCCCAGGGACACCCCCGACCTGACCCTTGGGCGGCCCCTCCAGGCCTGTCTTTCATGTCAGGGTCTCCCCCAGTTTCCCTCCCAGCGGAGTGAAAAATCCTTGAACCCCGAACCCTAGGTGCTTTAACGGGGCCAAGGGGAGCTTCAGGTGACCTTCACAAACCCGCACTGCCCAGAGGACCGCAGAGCGTGACTCGGGTGGCGGTGATGGGCAGAACAAGTTCTCTGCACCGCAGCAGAACTCGCTCACTCACTCCGTGGCGCGCACCTGCGGGCCCAGGTCTCCACCCCCCACGCCGCAGGCCCGGGGACCTCCTGCCTGCTGAGACCCCGGCACCCACCCGTGCCTGTCTTCCTCCTCCGTAGGTGGCCGTGCTGACTGTCTCAGAGCGGGCAGTGCCCCCGACCCCGGCCATCCCTGAAGACCCTGCCCCACTCTGGGGCTCCCCAGCTGCCCAGGGGAGCCCCGGGCAAGGAGGCCGCCCAGGTGAGTGGGTTGGGCTCGCAGCCCACTCCCTTGTAGCTGGATGGAGGATCAGAGAAGCGGGACTCTGGGCCCTACCCTGCCGCTGGCTCACAGCTCAGCCCCTGCCGGGCCTCGGTCTTCCCGTCCCTCCAGTGGGCCTGCGGGGAAGTTCTGCACAGAGCCTGCCCAGGGCTGGAGCGGGGAGCGGGGGACTCTGCATGACTCTGACCCCTGTGTATCCCCAAACCCCAGGGCTCCCAGGAGCCAGCGAGAACGCCAGGGCCCCGTTGCTCCCTCGAGATGGTAGGTGCTGGCAGGGGGGCGGGGGAGGGGTGGGACCAGGCCAGGTCGGGGTCAGATTCAGTTC